TTCCAAACTCATGATTTCATGCTATTGAAGATACTGTGACCCAAATGTCATTAGTTCAGAAGATACAGTGTATTATGAAAGATAGTCTCCCGACTTAGCAGGTTCTTTTTTCTGAAGTGGTGACTTAGCTGAGTTCTCAATATGCCATTCAAATTTTCTATCAAGCCAGCTGATTGCTGGTGATAAGGTTGACATTAAGACCATTCATTTTATGACAAGGTCATGTCAAACATTTGTTGCTAGAAAATGTATTTGTTTTTCTGAAACAACAGGGTGTGGTTTACCATTCCAAGGAATAAGATATCCTTTATGCTATTGGAAGGCGTTACTTCCTTGGACATGGCATATAAGGAAGGCAAATCATATTCAACCTTTTGATTTCAGAAAGGACAAATTACTGTTCCCTCCAAAACTGAAGAGTCTGATATAATTGAGTTATCACCATATTTCTAACTAGTTTTACAAAAGCATGTTGCTATATTTAGGACTCTGCATGGATCTCCTGCCTCTAACAGATTGGACACCCAACTTTGGCAGTAAGAGATGGAAGTTGGTATTATTGGATAAAAATTTAGTCTCATTCCTGACACTGCAATTCCTCTGTTCATGGTGTCAAATCCTTGGGTTGCTAGAGAGTAGAGAAGATGACCACCATCTACAGGAAAGGCCATCCAATCCTCCTAATTATTGTAAACCTCCAGTGCTGTAGCTACTCTACAGAGGTTAAAAAATGAAATAGGTGTTTTGTGTCCACGCTTACAAATACATGTAAAATCCTCATCCCAGATGCCATGTTCTTTCAGACTTGCTACCCCAGTTCTCTATCCTACTGTCCCACGTTACTGATCACTGTTTATGAATCAGGACACACCACTTCACTCAGCCACATTTTCTTCATGTGGAATGGAAAGCCAAAAGTTCTACCCACTGGGACAATTTATTTCTCCATTATACCTCAGGGCCACCTCAGAAAATAGTAAGAAATGAGGCACAAGTTCATTTCTTACTATTTTCTACATAAAATAACGGACTTTCTTTGTACTAGGCCCAAATTTTCTTGGTAACTCCTCAGTTGGAACCACAAACACATGAAACCATGGTATGAATTGACAAAAAGGAGCCTGTGCAACAGAGACAGGTGATATAAAAGTCTGGACTATGTGTTCATATAATTTGTTAATGCCATCTTGACCTAATTTAGGCAAGTTGTAAACGAATCACTTCCATTTACATTGATTGCCATTATGCCAACCCCCAACTATAGGCTGGTGGATTCTATCATAACTAGCACAGGATAGACAGATAGATCTACATTTTTGCTTGGTGTTTCTTCATCTGGCACTTCATTTTCACTAGAGGCCAAAGGAATATGAAAAACTACTTTATTTCTTCTTCAGAAGGTCTGACTTTGTCCCAAGGTCTATACTGTGATGATGATTTGGGTTTTTCAGAGACTCAAAAATCATTATTTCTCAGCACGGATATCTTTAGCCCAGTGGCCATTTTTTTTTTTTCCTGTTAAGCAAATTAGGTCCCAAAAGATCAATCATAACCTAATTTCTCATGCTTGTGAAACATGATTATATTTTTGTTTAAAATGATTTAATGAAAGAAAGTATTCTGGTGGGACTAACAGATCATACAAAATACACTCACAATACTTAAGTAATGTTAATATTGTTGGCTTTTCACAGCACTTACATCAAGATATATTGGACTCTTTTTGGTTTTATTGTGGATTACTCAAAAGCAATATGTAGTGGGGAAAAAATCAAGGTAATTGAGATAGTAAAAATACAAACTTTGTATTCATTTGTTCAACTATTCTGCTAATGTATTTGGAGTATCTACTAATTGCTGAGTCTTGCTAGGTATTGGGGGAAAAAGTAGATCCATCTTTGCTAACCAAGAATTTGAAATTAAAAAAAAAAAGGTTACAAACAAATTAACAGATGACTAAATTGTTGGACGTAACAACTGATGGACAATGAAACACCTCTGTGTTTCATTGAGGTGAAACTTCATCTGAGGTATGAAGTATAAATAGAAAGATAGTAGCCAACCAGAGGGATGAACATAAGGAGGAATATTCTGGCCAAGTTATGTACAAAATCCATGGTCACATCTGAGAAACCGATGGTATGCAATGTGACTTGTGCATGGAGATTACATAAAGGATGTCACAAGGGATGAGACTTGTCTACAAAGAAGGGTTTATTTATCAAAGGTTTAATTAATCATGTTAAGAAGTTTGGGCTCTATACCAAGGTTAATGGGAAAGATTTTCATGTCAGAAGTTACACTTAAGGGGCTGTATGCACAGAGTGGATAGCAAAAATGGTGGCTAATATAACAGAGGACAGTAATCCGGAGAGTTGTGATTTGATGCCTAAACACCCCACAAGTATATATAATTTTTTTTTCAAGAATAATAAAAGTAATAATAAACTTCCTTATACATCTTCAAAATGTAAACAAAATAAAATATGAAGGTACTACAAAAAGTTCATGGAAAGATTCATAATATCTTTTATTCTATTTTTCCACCAACTTTTTGAAGTACTCTTGTATAGAGGGTGTTAGAAGTAGACAGATTTAAAGAAAAAAACAAAGAGGGTACATAATTAGTTGTGTGCAATAATTAACTGTTCATTGGTGGCTATTAGAGGGGCATATGAAATATGTGTTCTTAATTTTCCACCTGGACGACTGGATGGAAGATGGCAGTGTTCACAGAGCTGTAAGATATATACTCCAAGGCATAATAGTGGGGTAGGATGGTTTTTGAATTGATTAATTTTCCATGTACATGTTAAATTTAGTTGCCTCTGGAATTGAAGTTGCCTAGGAAGGAAGTAGGTATATGTATCTGGAGTTCAGAAGAGAAACGTGGCCTACAGATCTAGACAGCTCTCAAAAATAATGTGCAAAAATGAGGAGTTGTCTTCAGAAACTTTAAAGTAATAGTGCTACTTACAACATAAACAAAGGAAGTAGACCCATCAAGGAAAATAAAACTGGACAGAAGGATGGGAAAACCCAGGATTTCTGGTTACTTCAAAACCAAAAAATAATGGTTTTTATGATGAAAATATTTATGGTGTCTAATGCAACAGAGAAGTCAAAGAAAAACATCTTCATTGGATTTCTGAGGAAGAAGAACTTAGAAAGAGTAATGACATTGCAATGCTGAGAGAAAAATACCAGAATAAAATAGATTGAAATATAAGTGGGAAGAACAGAGTGAGCACTGATGACTTTCCCAGATGTTTGGTACTGAAATAATGAAGAAAAGAACAGAGGTAAAGTTACAGAAATACAAGTCAGAGGTCACTGGTGAGGTTTTTTGCATATATCTTGCCCTCAGGTTTTTGAGAAAAATAGAGTAAATAAATAAATGGAGAAGATGGGAGACAAAAGATTATGGGTACAAAATATAAGCTTAGATATTAGAAATAAGAGACTCCCTTACCCCACTGCAAAAAAAAGTGCAAAGGATAAATGTGGAAACAGGTAGTTTTGTGCAACTGGTGACAAGAAATGGAGATATTTTTTATTTTATTACTTTAAGTCCCCCTCTAATGTCAGAAATTTTAGCATCTATTAAGACTAAGCAGTGGGATGTTATTGGGAAGTAAGAAGGAATTCAAAGTGTGTGAAATAGCTACATACAGACTGGAGACAGAACCTTTGTTCAGGAAAAAGGAGGTCAATTAAACGATGAGCTGATTTTGAATGAGACACTCAGTAATAGCTCACTTTTACCTAGAGGGTTCTTCTTGGTAGTTCAGATATACTTCTGGAGAGAAAAATATTTCAAAATATTCAGATTTTGGTATATCTGCAAGGAAATAGGGCAAATAAATTGGATATTGGAAAGGGAAGTTTTAGTGATAAATCATGAAGTTTAAGCCGTACAGGGGATTAATTGAATAACAAACTAGATAAGGAGTAATTAGTGGAGTTTAAGGAATAGTGATACAAGTGAATAAATGTAAACTGTCATAACAAGCTCAAAGGAAAGAGTAGAGGTTGTGATCCTTAAATAATATTTTAATTTTGGATATTTAGCACTGGATGAATTTCCAGATAAAACAATTTTTAAAATGGAGCCATGGGAGTGGGAGGCTGAAGGTAATGGTGGTGGGGTCACCGATATTAAGACATTAAGAATCTGAGAAGCTATAGATTAAATGTGTGATGTGCATGGGAACTAATGACAACTTTGTGGAAGGACAGCATGACCTTGGTGCCAAAGTTTTCAATGAATAAGGATTAACTAAATATATAAGGCTCAAAGCATCAGGGGAGTTTACACAAATGCAAAGTGTAATAATAAATATGGAACAATTCTCCAAGAATCAACAATACCTTATCTAACCTGCTAAATTTAAAATAGGTGAAGAGTTTCAAAGAGAGCACTGAAGTGGCCTGGAGAGAAACAGGTTTTCAAAGAGGAGGCAAGTTTCATTTTAAGAAAAGAAGAGCGAAATGATCTCAGATGTTGGAGAGTTTGGTAGTATCAGAGCAAAAGACACAAGGGCTTCAATTCAGCACAACAATGGAAGTACTGAAAATAAGAGGCAGGAGAGCTAAATATTAGAAGATTGCGACTAAGTGAAGCAACAGAAAAGTTCTTCAAAATGTTGCAAAAAGGAATAAGATCCTGCAGTCATAGTATAATGAGAATTACACTCAGGCTTCTGCAGAGTAAACCTCCATCTAATTAATATTAACACTATCAAGAGCCAAAATTAATTTACCTGGACATAGCATGAGATAGGCACTGTTCTAAGAAATTGACATGCACAAACTTACAGATTGCCTGTCCAAAATTGCCTTGATCTCTGGTTTATGGGGAAATTCTTACCTCTCTGAAAGGAGATCATTTGCGTAAACTACAAATTGAGGTTATGGAATCAAGGTCTAATGGCGTTCTGCCTTACCCTATACCAATCATAAAATATAAAGAAGGCTTAAGTTCTCAGGTTCAGTTTCCACATATGAAAAGGAGGATGAAAACCATCCACACTCTCAATCTATAGACTTGTTGTAAAGATAATCTTAGATAAAAAAGAAAAAAAAGTCAAATTTGTATATCTTCTGTTCAAATAAAGATAATTGAAAGTTGTCCCTCTTTAATTAGCTAGAAACCAATTTGTACTTCTACAAACTCATCCTAGAAGTTTTTTCTTCTCCTGCTCTGTGTTGGAATGTTTGAAGATAGGTGATAAATGTGTTTTTTGAATCGCTTGATGTATTTTTAATCCCATTATGCATATTTCAAAAGAAGAAAGACTATCCACATTTCTAAGCATTTTTTTCTTTTTAATTCAAAAATACTGCATAGCAATTGAAGAAAAACTAGGAACCATAGATATATAAAGGAAAAAAACAATGAATTTTTAAAAACCCTATGTGTTTGGTATAAAGATCATCAGTAACCAAATTTTCTTTAGGACATTTCATATTACCCCTTTTGGAATAAACTTTTAAAAATTTATTTTCTGTTAATTAATGTTTTCCAAAAAAAATTGTGTAATTTTGTTTTTAGTATTCCAATCATTTAAAAAAGGTTTCGTTATCTGTTTTCTAATAACTCTCAATCTTTATTTTCTCTTATTAAAAATAGACATACATAGATTTTTCAATTATGTAAAATTTTAAAATACCATCTTTTTATCTTTACAAATCCCCACAGAGTTGCATGTTTTGGAATCTCTACCTGTGATAAGTTACTTAATTCTGAAAGCAGAACCAACTTGAACTCCTTTGAATACGTTCAACATATGATCCCACTGGACCAGAACTATCTCCTAATATCTGCTTGATTACTGCCAATGGGAACAAGATTACTCAGTGTGTGCTGGAAAGTTTTAATGCAGAAAACTTTTAAACCTATTCCATGGCCAAAGGCAACCATTCAACAATGACAGAGTTTATCCTCTTAGGGCTCACAGATAATCCAGAACTTCAAACCATTCTCTTTGGTATATTCCTAGTAGTCTACTTAGCTAGTGTCGTGGGTAATCTTGGTTTGATTGGGCTAATTCAAATCAGTCCTCAACTTAACACACCCATGTATTTTTTTCTCAGCCATTTGGCTTTTGTTGATTTTTCTTTTACTTCATCTGTCACCCCCAACACCTTGGCAAATTTTCTGTGTGACGATAAAAGTATAACATTCTATGCATGTGCCATTCAGTTATGCTGTTTCATCACATTTGTTGTCTGTGAACAATACTTGCTTACAATCATGGCATATGATCGGTATGTTGCCATCTGTAACCCTTTACTTTATGCTATTCTCATGCCTAGGAAACTCTGTATTCAAATAGTTGTTAGCTCCTATGTTTATGGATTCACTGTGGGTCTTGTACAGGCAGTGGCTACATTCCATTTGTCTTTTTGTGACTCCAATGTGGTCAACCACTTCTACTGTGACGATGTTCCTCTAGTTGCTTTGGCCTGTTCTGACACTCGTGTCAAAGAGCTAATGTTGTTAATCATTGCTGGGTTCAATACCCTTTGTTCTTTAGTGATTGTGATCATTTCTTATGTCTTCATCCTCTTTGCCATCCTAAGGATACATTCTGCTGAAGGAAGACAGAAAGGGTTTTCTACCTGTGCTTCCCATCTGACCTCTATCACAATATTTTATGGGACAGTCATTTTTATGTACCTTCAGCCCAAATCAAGCCATTCTCTGAACACAGATAAATTTGCCTCTGTGTTTTATGTGGTGGTGATTCCCATGTTAAACCCATTGATCTATAGCTTGAGAAATCAGGAGGTAAGAAATGCACTGAAGAGAATCATAGAAAAATTGTGTTTGGCTATCAAATAATCTAAGAATCACTGCACAGAGATCAGAGGACTTTTAGTTGTGTCTTATCCAGCGTCATGATGCTAGTGGATGAAGGAGCTTTTTCTTCACATTGAGTGCTCACACTCACTCGGGGTATGTCTCATCCATGACGTCATTCTCAGTGGTTTCCACATGAAAGGCATTTTGTAAATGTTGAGTTGTTCAACTGCAAAAGGAGATAGTGAAAGAGAGAGAGAGAAAGAGAGAGAAAAATTTTAATCGTCTTTAATCACAATATCTTCATCAATAATTGAAGAAACAGTATTGGGAAACAGTGGCTTTATCTGAACAATGTGATACTGAGAAATTTGGATTATTTTGTAATAGATCAACATCTGGTATCTTTTATTTCAAGTTTGCTACATAGACAATCTGTAAAAAATGTCAAAGTGTAATAGCACAATATTTTTTATTTTTCTAAAAATATTATTTACTTATTTATAATTATGCATATTAATAATTTACCTAGCACTCCACTTTCTCTGCATTCTGCTGAGAAGAATAGTGTTCACAGAGTTACCTTGATGTTGAGAATTTAGCAACACCAATGCTATACAGTTTAAACAGGAGCCACTTCACACTATTAAAATTCACGGTCTGTTCTATATAAGTATGTGATTAGAAATTGTACTTTTCAAACAGTTTGGCTAACCATTTTAGCTTTTACAGTTAACAACTGTTTTATGGGTAAATTATTTCACATTTCTGTACTTGTTTCCTCATCTGCAAAAAAAAAAAAGAAAGAAAGAAATCAGTAATAGTTCCTTTCTCCTGGACTGAGTATGAGGATTAAATAAGATTATAAATATAAAGAGCATTGCAAAGTTTCTAGTACATAGTCAGCACTTCACAAATGGTGGCTATCACAAGTAATGATTAATGTTTTTATTGCATCAATGATTCCTTTTATTTTGTCTTAGGTAATAGGGTAATAGCCTTTTTTGAAATAGTTGGCAACATGATATTCTTCATTTTTAAATCAACAAAATGAAAATGTAAAAGTTAAGGAGTTATTTTAAGATATTTTAAGCAATTTCATTATTTTTAATATTTTTTTGTGTTGATCAACATATCTTAAACTTTTTGAGGGTTCGTCCATACCTCTTACTTAAAATGTGTATATTTTTCTTAGAAAAAAATGAAGCTGTTTTTATCTCATTTAGCAAAAATTAGATTGATAAATTATAAATTTAATTAGTCCCAAACTTTTCAAAGTAAAAATAAGCTACCATTTACTAAATTATTTTTTGTGTGTCAAATGCTCGGTGAAATGTTTTCAATGGATTGCCTCAGTTAATTTTTATAGCACCCAACTGAGATGGGCATTTAAGGAATAAAAAGTTCAAAACTGTTTATGTAATTCACTAACATACATATAGCTAACAACTGGAAGAACCAAGATTTGAGTTCGATTTGTCCACCATAGACTTGATGTTTAATGCCTCATATACTTCTAACTGCAGTTATACTGTTACATATAGTCATACTCAGTTACACTGAGATTTTTTTAAAAAAGAGAGATCCGAATGGTGATTCACAGAAGAAACAATCATCCCCCAAACTAGATTTAAAATTCTTCTAAAGTTAAAAAAAAAAAAAAAGTTTAAAAAGACAAGTAAGCCTGAACCTGGCACAGAAAAAGGACCTTGCCCCATGTTGCTCATGTACTCTGGAACAGAAAAGAAAGGGAAGGTCATCTATGAGGTAACCTTGTATGCAAGGCAGAGGAGCTTCTACCTTTATCATCCCTTTACTATCAGTGATGTTACCTTCAGATGTTTGTGAGACTCTTCCTCAAAAGCCAGATTCCTATCTGTTTCTATGAAGCCTGATTATAATTTACTTTGATGTTTTAACATCTATGGGCTTCATTTGCTTTTATTTAACTGCCTTGATTTAAAACTCAAGAAAAGACCCTTAGCAATTCTGAGGCACAATTTTCTCATCTATAAATTGAGACTTTTAGGAGAAATAATCTCTAGTAGTCCTAAACCTGTGTGTGTGATTATTCATATAATAAAATGCCAACAATTTATTATTAACTTAATTATTTCCAGACCAAATCAAGTGCCAGGAAGAAAATCTGAGGAAAAATACATTATCTATACTGTGGTTCTTCTTCATAGATTATATTTTAATATTACTTTGATAGAGTCAAAATAAATAAAACAATCACAAAATAAAATAGCACCCTAAGGATTGGGGAAAAAATATATATTTGCAAACCTGGTAAGGAGATTAATAACCAAAATTTGTAAAGAACTCATACAACTCAATAGCAAGAAAACATACACCCCAATTTTTAAAAATGGGCAGAAGACCTGAGTAGACATTTTTCCAAATACAATATAAAAATGGCCAACAGGTATATGAAAACATGCTCAACATAACTAATCATCAGAGAAATGCAAATCAAAACTGCCGAGATACTGCCTCACAACTGCTATAATTGCTATTACCAAAAAGAGGAAAGATAACAAATGTTGGTGAGGGTGTGGTGAAAAGGAAACCCTTGTATACTGTTGGAGGGAATGTAGATTAGTGAAGCCATTAGGGAAAATAATATGGAGGTTCTACAGGAAATTTAAAACAGAACCACCTTATGACCCAGCAATCCCTCTTCTGCATATGTACCCAAAGGAAATGAAATCACCACCTCATAAAGATGTCTGAACTGCCATGTTCATTGCAGTGTTATTCACAATAGCCAAGACATGGAAACAACCTAGGTGTCTGTCAGTGAATGAGTGGATAAAGAAACTGTATCTTTACAGTTTAGCTGTGATGTGTGTGTGTGTGTGTGTGTGTGTGTGTGAGTGAATATTATTCAGACTTAAAAAAGGAGATCCTGCCATTTGCCACAACGTGGATGGTCCTGGAAGACAGTTGCTTAGTGAAATAACCCAGACTTGAAAAGAAAAATATTGCATAATTTCACTTATATGTATGATATTATTATAAAAGGTCAAATATAGAGAGAAAGAAAATAAAACACTGTTTCCAGGGGCAGGGTGGGAGGGCAAAATAGGAAGATATAGGTCAAAGGATACAAAGTAGCAGATATATAGTCTAATGTGCAACATGAAGACTATAGTTAATAATAGTTTATTTTATGAGGGATTTTTGCTAAATAAGTAGATTACAGCTGCTCTTGCCATGGAGGAAAACAGATAACTATATGAGATGGTGAATATGTTAATTTGTTTTATGATAATGATCATTTTTCTACATATATGTACCTCATCATATCTTATAGTATACCCTAAAAATTTATTTTTTAAAGGAAGAAAATATATGGGTTCCTCTGAGCTAATACTCAAGAAATGTAATTAGGGAAGTATGAGGGAATTTATAAGCAAGCATACAAAAAATTATAACTAAAATTCATTAAAATATTTACATTCTAGATGCATTCCTGGAAATCTTGTGCCTCTTAATTTATTTTGCAATTAAATTATAGTATGTTTTCAAGGAATTTTAACTTCTCTAATGTTTAAGTTGTCCTTGTGAGGGTAGTAAAATGGGTGAAAGACAAGTTATTTATTTTCTTTGTGTTTCTTTTTTCACACTACAAATTTGTAAATAACCAGTGTGCATACTATGTGATATTGATAAGAGGATTAAATAAGATTGTAAGTGCTAAATGCTTTGAATTCTAAAGCCAAACAATAGCAAATAGTAAATAAATGTCAGCTAATTATTATCATCATTATTATTAATTACTACTACTACTACTATTGTTTTTTAGAACTAGATGAAGGGTTTTTATTCAAATATTAAATTTAAAAACAAATTATGCATAAGGGCTCTGTTCTTTTTAGAAAAATATAGCCCACTGACCAAGGTAAAAAGCATTTAAATGTAGCAAAGAAAAGGAAAGAAAGTCTAATATAAAGTATAAACATTTTAATATCAATATGCAAAAACAGTTACTTGAAATTTTATTCAAAGTAGACCACTAATCAGCTGTAGATACAAATAAACAAGCAAACAAAACAAGTCAGTCTACAAGAAAATGTACTCAGGTTGGTTAATGTCACTGATTGTAAAAAAGTTGATATTTATATCAAAACTGTATTAGGGACCAGCCATTTTTCCAAGGTCTTTATACATATTTCTGTCTAAATTCTCATGCCCCAAGTTATGAAATGAGAATTTTTTTTTAATATATAAGGAACTGGAGTAGAAAAGCTTAAATTTGGGACCAAATCTTTCTGAAATAAGGCATGTTCTTCACTAATCTTGGACACTGCTAAAGATTTCTTCTTTCCTACTCTTTTTTATCAGCCTCTTGATTCTATATCCAGAAACAAAAGCACATAGGGACCACTGACAAAGGAGTGAAAAATACAAAAATTTGTTTAAACATACCTGGAGAAAAAATGAATAAAGTAGATTTTTTTTTTCCTTTTTGTCTTTATTCGTGACCGGCAACGGATCACAACCCTCAGTGTCGTGCCCGTACCGGACTGGGACCGGCAACGGGATCGCAACCCTCGGTGTTGCCCCCACACCTCGCTCAGCCAGTGAGCGGGAACCGGTCTGTATGTTTATTTTTATTTTTTTTTCCTTTTTTTGTCTTTTTTCGTGACCGGCAACGGATCGCAACCCTCAGTGTCGTGCCCGTACCGGACTGGGACCGGCAACGGGATCGCAACCCTCGGTGTTGCCCCCACACCTCGCTCAGCCAGTGAGCGGGAACCGGTCTGTATGTGGGATCCGAACCCTCGGCGGGAGCGCTGCCGCACTTCTCAAGCGGCGCACTGCAGCACTGCGCCACCGGGCCGGCCCCTAAAGTAGATTTTGATGTTTTGACTGAGGGACTGGTGTTTAAAGAGATAAACCCGGCCACCTAGAGCAACATTCTTAGTCAATAATTTTAGATGCTGTTAGGAACTGTGTATGTCTGCTTAAGAAGCTGAATGACAATTTGAATTTCTTAGCTCATGTCTCTGAGAAAACCTAGATTTACCTTAATTCGTGATTGCTGGTAGAAAGGAATTAAAATTATGTAAAGATGTAAAAACTTAAATTAGTGTTTAAGCATTGCTGCTGTAAATAATTCTATGAAGCAGGAAGGTGCAGTGAAACCCCAGAAGACCAGTGTTTCTCAGGTGAATCATCAGTATCTTACAGGCCTGAATTTCTTTACCAGTAAAATGAGACACTGCCTATGACACTTCTACTTGTCATGCATGAGATAGGTGAGAATACTGTGTATAATCTCATATCTCCATATAAACATATAGTCATATCACTTCTTGCTGTGTGACAGAGATGCAAACATTACTCAAAGACCAAATATTAAGAGCAATGAGAAGCCCAAAGGGACTGTGGGACTCTTCCTCAAGAAGGGAGAAACAAGGTGCAGCCCCGAGTCAGTATTTGCTTCAGCTTCTACTGTAAAAACAAGGAAATGCAACAGGAAAAAAAAAAAAAAACCTGAATCAATCATTTATCAAAGGAATAAAAAGAAATTAGTTATTGCGCAATTTCTGGAAAACATCTTGAGAAACAAAGAAAAGGGAGTGAAGCTGGATAAGAAATGACCTTAATGTTCTTATCTAATGTAGCAGAAACTGTTTGCTGTTTCCAGCACATCCTGTTTTCAGCAATTAGGTTCTGCATAAGTGCATTCAGGACTTTTGCCCTTGCTGTACTTCCTGTTCTTTGTCAAGCCTATGTGCTCCCACATACTCCCAAGACAAAGTGTGATAAATAAAAACATCATTCTTCTCTGTTAAGTCTGTTTTATAAAAATCAGAGAATTCATTTTACTCACAAGTTTCTAGAAGTACCTCATAGCAGCGTATCTGAGTCATTTGCAAATTAAGTGTAGAATAGAAAATAATCATCTTGTATTGCAAACCTGAAACTGTATTCTATATAATGGATACAGGTATCATAATATCTAAAATGGAAAAAAAAATAGTTTAAAATGAATCACAGTTTCGATACTACGAATCATCAAAATAATAAAAGCACATCAAATCACTAATTTTTAATTACATGTCATGATCCTATAAGGGTGACTGACTAAATAGCAGGCGGAGATAAAAATATCATAAACTAAGGTTATTTCCAATTGAACAAATATGCAAATACGTCGAACATATTTATTTTAAAACACAATTATTTATAGACCATGTTCTTCCAATTATATTTAATAATCTGATAATGACATATTTCAATCGAATTGATATATAATACTCTTCATTCTTAACACCTTTCAATCGAATTGATATATAATACTCTTCATTCTTAACACCTACAGTATTAAGAAAACATAATTCAGATACTCTCAAATATGTATTTAGAATTTCCCTTTTAACTAGTTATGTGACTTTAGGCAATTTATAAATAATTGGGAGTTGGAGATGGAACTTTACACATCTCTTAGGTTTGTTTGACTGTAACAAGTAAGACTACTTTAATTAAGTGTCTGGCGAGCAGTAGAAAACTAAACTGGGCTTTGCCCCTCTTCCTCAATGATTGATATTCCTTCAAGAGCTCAATGAATTAATTTTTAAATTTATATAACACACATTTACATAACTAACATAACACTTACTTAGCACTGATTATCACTGGATATTGTTCTGAGTGTTTCATAAATATTAACCTGTATAATTCTCAAAACAAACCAATGAGTTGAGTCCTATTATTTTCCAGAATTGGAAACGGAGTCACACAGAGTTTAGGGAATTGTTCAACGTTGCACAGATAACAAGTGAAGGAAATAGCATTCAAACTCAAGCAGTCTTGCTCCAGTGTCCCAAGCTCTAACAAAAACATGCCGATGCTTTTGCTTGGGACACACATAATATGGGTTTGTGTGCATAAGTGTGTCCATGTCTGTATTTAAACATGATTTCAGTGGTCTGTCAAGTATATAATGGCCTGAGTAGGACTTTTTACGTCATACTGACTTTCCAGAATCTGTCTGGGTCCCTGTAGAAAATGTCAAGGTTTGTTAAAGTAACAGTCACATTTTCAGTTGTTTGGAAAAGAATTACAAGAAAAAGCTTGATTTATTTTCCTGCTTGTATTTTGTAAAGTAATATTATTCTTATTATTTTCTTAACTTTAATATTGTTAAGGTTTCACAACCTTTATCCAAGGCTTTCTTTGAGGCATCTTTCACCTCTTTGTTCCTTAGACTATAGATTATGGGGTTCAACATGGGGATCACCACTGTATAAAATACAGAAGCCATTTTATCTGTGTCCAGGGAGTGGTTTGATTTGGGCTGTAGGTACATAAAGATCAATGTGCCATAGAAAATAGTAACAGTCACCATATGCGAGCCACAGGTGGAAATGGCCTTGCGTCTTCCCTGAGCAGAGTGGATCCTTAGGATGGCGGCAATGATAAAGATGTAGGAGGTGAGGACTATGGAAGAGGAACAGATCATGTCAAAACCAGCAAAGGCAAAAATCAGAATTTCCTTCATGTGTGTGTCTGAGCAGGACAGAGCTAAGAGAGGGAGGTCGTCACAGTAGAAATGGTTAATTACATTGGGGCCACAGTAAGTCAGATGGAAAGTGATGATGGTGTGGAACAGGGCAACGAGAAAGCTGTATGTATATGGGATTGCCACTAACTGAATGCAGACTCTTTTTGACATCACTGTTGAGTAATGCAGGGGACAACAGATGGCTACATAGCGATCATAGGCCATGGAGGCTAAAAGAAAGCACTCAGTGATCATGAAGGTCAGAAAACAGCCCAGTTGTGTTGCACAAGCATGGAAAGAAATGGTGTGCTCCACAACAACAAAATTCAACATCAGCTTCGGTGTAATAGCAGAGGAGTAACAAAGGTCAACAAAGGCCAGGTGACTGAGGAAATAGTACATTGGTGTGTGGAGTCGAGCATCAATCCTGATTAAAGTAATCAACCCAAGGTTGCCTAGCACTGTGACCAGATAGATAACTAAAAACACCACAAAGCATGGGACCTGAAGCTCTGGCTGGTCTGTAATTCCCTTGAGAATGAATTCAGTGACATAAGTGATATTAACTTCAGCCATTTATTCTGGAAGATGTTGTGAATTTTGTTGCAGTTGAAGAATAAAAATGACATTTCTCATGGCCCCTGCCAGTGTTGAGAGAAGGTGATTATTGGTGTCTTCTTGCCTTAAATCATATAATCATGTGGGGGAAAATGTATCCTTTAACTCTCTGGTAATAAGCCATTCTTGTCTCAGGGACAGGAGTCTTTTGCTTTCACAACTATCTTCTTAAGAGTCATTTTGCTTTGTAATTTCAGAAAATAAGAAAGGATGTTGGTTAAAAAATAAATATTATAAAACCACTTGAGACAATTAATGTTAACATATCAGTATTTTTTTTGCTGCCACTAG